CTTCTGACAGAATAGTGATATCTGATGCAGTATCCAACTGCATTCGAACCGGCTGACCATTGATCGAGAGGGTCAGAAATTTGCGTCGAGTAGAAGCATCGGTGTGAAAAGCTGCTGCTAAACTCCTAGATGCAGCAAACGGCTTTCTGGGATAACGGCGCTGCGACTGTGAATTTCGCCGGACAGTGAATCGGGTTGATTGGCAAAAACCGCTTTTATGACCAATTTTCTGACAGCGATTGCACACATGCTGCTTGAATGGACAAAATTTCACGTAATGCCAGTCCCCACAGTGCCAACATGGTGAGGGGGGCTTCTTATGCGCTGATTTTGAGTGATTTGAAACAGAACTGGGATTCGAACGACCAAGGGTTTTCGATCTAGAAGATTTGTTCTGCTGCTGAACAACGTGAACTTCGGAACCACCCTGGCTCCCAGATTGAACCAAAGTGGTGTCACACTGTAAGTTGGTGATGCGTTGGTACTCATCAGCGATAGCATCGAGTGTCAGTGTTGGGTCTTGTTCGAGGCGGTTAAGCAATCGAGTTCTGATGTCGGAGAATTTGGGTGATTGTAGACTGCATATGAATATGAGAGATTTGAATTGGTCATCAGTAAGGGATCTGTGTTTGAACCGTTCACACTCGCGGTTGACAATACCAACATGAGTCAAGAAGTCATCGGACTCATTCATGACTAGTTTTAAACAACGATAACGTGTATTGAAAAGAGAATGCTGATCCCCAAAAAGTTTGCTGAGGGACTGAACCGTAGCATCGAATGATCTGTCACGTGGGTTCTGCGGTAGGATGTAGTTGCGATACTTGTCCAGTTCTGACGGACCAAGTTTTCGAAGGAGAAGACGCACCTTCCAGGAATAATCTTTGTCAGCCAAATCAACTTTGAAAAGATCTTCATAACGCATGAACCAAGTATCAAATGTAATATTGGCGTCAGGATCATACAGAAACTCAGAAATACTACTGGTCATACCATCAACTGACTGAGGAATTGTTGGTGTAGATGAGACTTGAGAAGAGATGTGCTTCTGAGTAAGCATCTCCATCAGCTTCAGCTGCTGTGCAAACAATTTTTCTAATGTAGCTGGATCCATAATTAGTCACCAACCCGTCGCCAAATTTGTTGTAAACGCGGCTACGTAAATCTTCAGTCCTAACGGCGTCCAATTCAAATATCGCAATACGACCCAAAAGGCTTTCCCAAATCTCCTAGAAATCAGAACGCAACACCGTGGAAGGAAGATGTTTATTGGGTCGAAAACAGAAGAAGAAGTAGGCAGGGGAGACGGAATTATTAAGTCTTCCAGATAGCGCGTATTTATACACTAAGGTCGACTGAGAAAAAGCATCAACGTCCGTGACATTGACAATTTAGGACGACCAATAGAAAATAACATTTGAATGACATTGACCGTCCAGATGACCAATAAGAGATAACATTGAAGTATTTGACCCTGACGGTAAGAACGATCAAAATTTCGGCCAATAGAATTCGACCAATAGGATTGCAGTTCTAAAAATAGTATTCTTAGGATATTTGGTGAATATCCTAACAATTCCAGAGTGAGCTACTTGATCATTTCGAGGATTCAAATCAAAAACATACAGAAAGTGCCTTAATGAATTTTTATAGGTATCTTATCGATGAACTTCTAATGATTTAAAGCATCCTTAACACTCCTGTATACTTCCGAAAATACTTAATGAGGCTCAGTGTAGGATTTAATCTGTCCAACATATGCACTTCTAGAACTGTAAACGCAATATTGGCGAGCACAGAGTCTATAGGAAAGCTTTGGTCAAAACAAGACCAGTTTATCTTTAAACTTTATCTGTTTCGACCAATACAATGTGTCTTATGGAAATGAATAAAACTATGAGTTACATCAATATAATAGGACAATAATGTCCTTCAATTAGTAGGTCATTTATGATAAAGATAGTTTACGGGCACGTCAGACCAGATCACGTGGTGAATGCTTAAAATACAATTTGATTGGTTATTTATAGCATAACTACAATTAGTTATGGAAATAACTAACACTCAGTTCCAGCAAACTCCTTGAGGGCAGTGCCCAGGAATCGGAGACTCAATATGACAGACTGTACTGTAGGCAAACGTTCTATTCTTTACGCGTAGTTGAATTCCGGAATTTGGTGCTGGCTGAGGTTGCCAAGTGAGTTTCCGTCAGTCCTTCAAGCGGAAACTTAGCGTATTCTCAAGGACTGAACACAGTGTTTCCTTAAAATTTACAAACACTTCTCTTATACTCGTCAAATATAACTATGTTTCTACTTGGAGCCATAGACCACGTTACTCATCCTTCATAATAGATCACTTTTATGCTTTGACACTAAGCAAGATATAGGAGTACTTTATAGTGTGATGTGCGCTCAACAAACTTTCGACCGAATCAAAGAGCTGTTAGATGACCGCCAAATGACGCTGAGACTGCCGGAACCCGAGAAGCCATTTACAGTGACCACTGATGCGAGCGATCACGGTATAGGTGCGGTCTTGAGGCAGTCTGACAGAGTGGTGGAGTATGCCAGCCGTGTCCTTACGCCGACGGAACAGAAGTATTCCACAGTAGAAAAAGAGTGTTTAGCGATTGTATGGGCGGTAGACAAATGGAGACCGTATCTACTGGGTAGGCGATTTCACATCGAGACGGATCATAAGACCCTACAATGGTTGAAAACAACAAAAGACCCCCGGGGGAAGTTGGCTTGATGGATGCTACATCTGCAAGAGTATGATTTTAGCATCGTGCATGTGCCAGGGGAGGAAAATGTAATAGCAGATTATTTGTCAAGACCGGACACCGAAGCCGAATTTCCAGAGATAGCGTGTGCAGTTAACGGCCTAGAGGGAGATCCCCTAGAACTCGTCCGACATCAGAAAGCCGACCCTAACCTTCGAGAGGTAATCAGAGTGACAAAAGAGAGAGAAGATATCGACAAGAGTGGAACAGGCAAAGAATTAACAGTGTTGCTGAGGCAGAATGAGAGACTGAGAGTGAACGGATACGGAGCCTTGACCTGGCGGGAAGATGACGAGAATTGGGTAGCAACAATCCCAAAAGATCTGCGCCAGGAGATGATTCGTGAATGTCACCAGGTAGCGCACACAGGTATTGCACGGACAACTGATTTGCTGTGACAAAGTGCATACTGGCCAGGTATGAGAGACGATGATGCACGATATGTGTTAGCGTGCCAGCGATGTCAACTAATGAAAGGGGATCGATGCATACGACCGCCATTGCAGTCAATTCCAGTAACAGAAGTTGGTGATTTGTGGTCAGTAGATGTTATGGGACCGTTCCCACAGACGATAAGTGGTAACCAGTACCTGCTGGTGATGACTGAGCATGCCATACGATGGGTAAATGCCGTGCCGATGGCGGACCAACGTGCAAGGACGGTGACGGAAGTGGTAATGCGGCACATTGTGGCGGACCATGGAATACCAAGGATAATATTAACCGATCAAGGTCCCTGTTTCGAGAGTGATGAGTTCAAGTCCCGTCTAAAACAGTTAGGTATCAAGAGAGTACAAACAACGCCATATCATCCACAGACGAATGGGTTAACGGAAAGGAATAACCGAACGCTAAAGGAATGGCTAGCATCTAAAGGGGGTGACTGGGAGAAAGAATTACCATTAATCTTGCTAGCACATCGTGCCTCGGCACAGGAAACAACCAGGAAGTCACCGTTCCAGCTGATGTATGGCAGACGGCCGAGACTACCAACGCATGATAAAACCTGGCTGCAACAACAGAGATGGAATACAACAAGGTTGAGTACAGAGCGGAGACAAGCAATCAGGAATGTGAGAGAGAAACAAACATCAGACATGGAGATGTCAGAACAGGAGAGAAAGACCTGGAGACCGTTTGAAGTGGGAGACCAAGTGAGGTGTAGAGAACGGAAATATACCACAGGAAGAGGGCCAGGGTCAGGTAAGCTGATCCCGAAGTGGGAGGGACCGTACGTCGTCACCGAGAGGCGCGTCGCAGTGTATACGATTCAGAAAGGAAACAAACAGAAACGCGTGAATGCCAGTGAACTCCAAAGGTGGTTCCAAGTGCTCCAAGAGGTCGAGCCACTAACACTGTACGGCGATCAGAAAGGCAGAGAGAGCGACTTCTTAAAGGGGGGGCGAGTGTGATGTGTGCTACTTATACGAACGATATAAGTAGTATAAGAAGGGACGTGAAAGAAGAACTCTCACGGTCACTAGAGGAAAATGGAAAGCAAATGGAGCAAAAGCAAGAAGTAAATGGAGTACCAACAGGAAGTAAAGGAAGCAACAGCAGGAATGGAAGAAGGCTGGAGCGTTGGAAGTCAAGACTCAAAGATACTGTGCAAATAGAGTGTTCAATGTAATGATTTCGTTTTCAGTTGACTAAGAGTGTAAATTTGCTAAATACAATCTATCGAGCCTGCCTCAGTCTTCTCAATAGGAGATCCTGAGTAATAACACATGTGGATTTTTATGGCCATAGTCTGCAGAAGTCCGGCTTCATCCAAACAAGGATGATGCTAGTCAATAAATTCTTATTAAGAATACAGATTTTTTACTTTAATATGCATGATTTTATTTGGACGTAAACTTGGAACATTATCTCAGTCACTCAACTGATATTGCGTTGTTTCTTCTGGTTCGCTGAGTCCTGAAGTGAAAAATCGTAGCTTTGCATGTCTACTAACCATTTATAAACCTGGCGATAATTCCAAGAAATAATGTTTGGTACATGTGTAGAGAGTTCAAGTAGGAAACTAGTTATACTCGAAGAGTAAAAGAGAAATATTAGTAAATTATAATGAAATCTCATTAATTCTACTTATTACTTACAAAATGACAATTATTCTATTCATATAACGATTAAAAAGGTTACAGATATCTCGAAATCAAAAATAAGAGACGAGAACTTATTGAAACCTATCTAGTGTATTTCCCTTGTTTAAATCCACCAGTTGAACGTACTCACTTGCCAGCCTGTAAGTGCGTTTACTGTGTTACATTCCGTGAGTTGAGTCGTTTTCATTTTCTCGATTGACATTTCGATTTCAACTCACGTCTAGCAGTTCATTATTTCTTTTTATCGTTTGGATTATAAAGGGTAAGTACGTTTTCAACTTAGTGAGTAGTATACGTGCAGGCCTACAATAAAGTAACCTTGCACTGGATGTGTATTACTCGACTTCAAAGCTAAACGAATAACAATGAACTTCTGACATTTCAAAGTGCGAAAAGCGTCATGTAAATCCTTCCATCCACAACGTACTTCAATTCACCTACGCAATTGTATGTATTACCTTGGTTAACAGAGGTAATACACCGCTCGGACATAGTCAATATTGTATAACGTTCCAACTAAGTTATAAAAAATGTAGATCTTAGAGATTACTTCAGATACAATCCTCACAAATAATTTACTCAAGAATATCCTTTAGGATATCTACATAGATTCAGTCCTAATGCGAAGCTGAGAGGAAATACCAGGAAACTAAAGGTGTAACACAGTATGGTAAACTGTGAACATATACTTACGAAATTATATCTTGAAACTCACTGCCAGATAAAGTAATCCAGCAAATTTCTTCGAGTCTTTCAAGGGTTACTTTCACAAATTATTAGTTACTTGGATTAGTATACCTTACTAATTTATTTATTACGTCTGCTTGTTTCAGATACCTAGTTCCATATCTGAAGGGACCAGTAGTCCATTGCGACTAGACATACAAGCTCTTTAATTGTACGCTTCTATTCTGCCCACAGTCATTCGACTCTCTGGAAATCCCATTTTTGATTTTGACTATTGTATTCTTACTTTCGTATGTATACGTCATTAACTTGTGGATCCTTGGCTAATGCAATTCCTGTCAGTTATATGCACGTATTAAGTTTTTATCTCGCGTTTTCTTTTTTTCACTCTAGATTGCTGTGCTTGGTGAGCAAACCGTCGCTACCAGAATTACTTGTTTTCGTATTATTTATACAACTTATCCGTCATTTACGTACAAGTTCGTGGAGAGATGAATGTCGCATTCGCAAGAATGTTCTTCTTTTTTGTTTACTTGTCTTTGCTTAACATTGGAAATGGATTGTCAGTTGGAGAGGTAGGATCAGAACTTTGATTTTGATGTTTTTCAGATATTAGAAAAAAAAATTAGGACCATGAATCAACTGACTATCAATCAACCATATATCAATCTTGATACCGATCAATTTAATTTTCTATTGAAATCTCAGCCCAGGAATTACTCAGTTATATTACTTCTGACTGCCCTTAGTTCTAGTAGAAATTGCGTGCCTTGCAGGTTGGTATCTTTTTGATCTCCCTTCAAATATTATTTAGACAAGCGTTTGAAGAGTTTCAAGTTGTAGCAACTTCCTGGAGATATTTTAAACAACATGATGATCGGTTATTCTTTGCGATCGCTGACTATGATAAAGCACCCGGTGTCTTTGAGTTCGTAAGTGATAAAAATATAACCCCCGTTTTAGCTACATCAAGAAACTGCACCCGCTATTGTACATGTATCACCTAAAGGAAATATAAAACCATCGGACTACATGGACATAATGGTTAATGGGTTTTCCTCTGAGACCATAGTACAATGGATATCTGGAATCACTCAAATTAAGGTAGATATTCTCCACTTTTAAAATTTGCAGATCCGTCTATTTCGACCTCCAAATTATACTGGAACCATGCTACTTGCTCTTTTTATGTCCCTTGGAGCTGCAGTTTTGTACTTCCGTCGAATCAACATAGATTGTTTATATAATCGTTCACTATGGAGTGCAATATCGTTGGTAAGTCAGGGAATTTTCCTCATTTGTTAAGTCGTATACTTCATCTTTTCAAAAACAGTAACTTTCCAGCTTTTATACTACTTATAACATATTCAAGTGGATTTGACCAAAACATTTTCGTGTAAGATGTAACGAGATATATACAAATCGTTTTTATATGACTTATGGGTTTCTCGCTTAAGTATTGATCTTTATTTTTATTTATTTATCTATTTTATATATTTTTATTTCTTATATTCATGCAAAAACCAATACTTCTTAGTGTGGGTCCTTTTCCTTCTGGATTCCCAACAAAGCTATAGTTCGATCTAAAAGTAATTCTACGCCTTACATTCTGTATGCAAACGGTTTACCGATTGACACAGTACTTCAACCCAGATTGTTTTGGGTATTCGACAATTCAATCATAAATGATAAATGCTATAAGTATTGACTGAGACGACATCGTCAGACAGACAGACAGATACAACACAGAACATCGTACGTATGCGCATCAGTTCAGGTTGCCATACCCCATTAGCACAGAGACGCAACTGTCAGTTCAAATCCAAGAGTGATAGCGAAAGTAGAAGTATTAGCAGTAATAGAGAAGATTCGGGTATAATTCAATGAGATAAAGCTAGAAAGATAAAGATATATATTATGACGAATTCAGAAGGTCAGGATTTGATAGAACACAAAGAGTAGATACACGTGCGCCATTGCAAACGACTTTTAGCCATTCCCTTCAAGGTCTCTGACCATTGGTGACTTTCCTCTCGCGGACCCCAACCAAGTAACCTACATCTACCAACATGACTCAGTCCACTAGTCAATGACTTCATGGATTGCTGCCATGTTTTGGTTTGACCTCCCCTAGCTTTCTTCCAACCTACTCCTACACCACAAAACATAGCTCGTCGAGGCAGTCGGTGGTTGCGCACACGTAACACATGTCCCAACCACCTCAACTAATGAAGTTTCAATACTTCATATATTGACCTGTCATCACTACCAGTACTCATTTTCTAACGACAGCATTGTTTACTTGGTTGTCCCATGATATACGAGCAATGCTTCGAAGACACCTATGGTCCTCTAATCTCACCGGCCATGTTTCGCATCCGTATAGTAGGGCGGAGTGAACTGCCGCGCAGTATACTCGTCCTTTGGTCAGCAAACTGATATAAAAGCGTAGCCGCGTGAGAGATTTTCGAGAGGGAGAGCTGATAATCCCTTCTTATGACCGTACTGAAGCTTTTGAAGGCTCATTTATATAATATGTTAGTCAGTCAGTCAAACAGCTACAATGTGGAACTTAGTACATACATACATCAGTTAGAGTTAGTCCATATCCCATAGTTGTTGAGGCAGTAGGAGTATTAGTAGTGGCAGAAAAGATTGTGAATTGGATATATGATCAGAAAAGTATATTCCAGTGCAGCAAATTTGAGTAGAGAAAGATGGTCATGAGTAATCAAGAAAATTGGGATTCGAGCGCAGACGAAAAATAGACGCATTTGTGCCACTGCAAATGATTTTGAGCCATGTCATTCAAAGTTTCTAACGACTTATTACTATTGTCTTCTGTGTACACAGATCCATTCTATGAGAGCTAGTTCACCTTTCCAAGTCAATGCTATACCTACACCAGCGAGGCTACAGGAAGCAGCAGTGGGGCTTCCAGATACACAAAATGTAAACCGAGTTGGTTCTCTATCTTGACAGAGTGAGGTCAATGTATGAAGGTATACGAAAAGGGCCGACTTCGGAGATAGGAGACTTATTAATAGGTGTAGAAATATTCGATTATGAACCAGTTGATATCGTGTACTCTCAGGGGTATGAGCGGGGATGTCACTTCCTGGTTGCCCACACCATAGAAGGGAATTTTCGAGGAACCTGGAAAGAAAGTTGGGCTAGGTTTAGTCTTAGCGACCTGCGAGCGTGACCACAGAGCCCAAGGGACACCTGCTTGAGGCCGATCATCATCAACCTTTTATCGGAAGATTTTGTGTTAGCTCCGATCTGCGAAAGGCCACACTTGCGGAAATCAGCTGGGTAAAATGAAGTGTGAGATTTTTAGGGTCGAACTTTTCCAACCCCTCCTTTCCTTGTGAGAAGGTTGTATCGCTGCAGATGCTGGATGTTCGGGAAGGAAACCTTACTACTGTCACACCGCTCCACAGTCAGCAGTACGACGTCGCCCTTAGACCTTCAGTTGCTACTTTTGGTCTTTTTGTTCTCCAATCGACTTGTCTGACATGGTAGAACCTTCCGCAACATCTGTTTCAGCCAATATAGCTCAGTTGGGTCATTAAGTAATTGTAGCAGCTAGGATCGGGAATACGGTTGCCGGTTATGTCTTCGTGTATTATAATAACTGGGGTTGGGTTTTTAATCAAAATCGAGTCTCTATTGATTCTGCTTTCAGTCTGTCAAGCTATTGCACACCAATCATATTTAGTGATTTGGTTTGCTTCAGTTCTTTGAACGAGACTTCAAAATTATCCATTAAAAAGCGTATTTATAGAATGTTCATAATTTTGATAGATCTTTAGACTAGTTTCATACTGCTAAGTATCACCATCGTTTTAAGGAAAGGTGCCGCCACTCAATTTCACCACTAATCTTTCTCGAAATAACTTGAAAGTGTATGGTGAGTTTTTTCGTTTATAGTTTGATCACAAGTTATTCCCACTCAGCAGAAAGTAACTAGTTTGTACAGTGTCACTTAATGAGCTCCTTTTTAATTGTAGGGTGTTATTTTCTGTTCCATTTCTGGCCAAGTGTACAATCATATTCGTGGACCTCCACTTTTCCACGCACCGCCCCCTAATGGAGAAATTGTAAGATGTGTTCTTTTCTTTACTCGCCCTAATTGTATATTCTAGAAAGCTTTTATATACGAAGGTTCTGATTACCAATTTGTCGCAGAGACGTTTATTGTGATGCTTTTATGTATCCTTGATTTGTTTGGTATTTGTTCTCTTATATTATCACATTTGTTTGCATGCTATGCCTTAACTTATGATTTTCCATAAGATATTGGATGCTCAGGTGGGATTCTTCTCATGACTGAAGTTGGTTCAACTACTGACCCAACAAAACGAAAAGGTAAGTTGTATGATCTATTTTTGTCCTGTCACACATATAAATGTTGAAATGGTGGGTAAGATTTGTAGCTCAGGTGGATGTGTATGGTGGATTTTCGTTTATCCAGTTCAGGGCACAAAACTCCATTATAATATACAACAAACATTTGTCTTCTCATGCAGTTTGATTTTACCATATATTCTATTAAGATTATTCCTGTTGTGATACATCCTTTGCAAATCTTACCTCAGTGATACTCCTAGATTTTAGATATTCACCTTTAACAAAACTCGATACGAATCCATGAAATCTCTGACAACTAAACTAAGCCATGTCAATAGGTGCAGACTACCCGCTTTGGGTTTGCGAAACAATAGAAACCAGTGGTTACTATGTGCAACTTAAACCTATGTACCAAGTTTTACATTGTAACTGTTTAGCTAACTGACTTCAGCTCAAACCATCTATTGTATTTCTAAAATGCTTGATGCTAATAACTGCTACATAATAATGCGGTGAATTCGAGCTGATAGAGTTTGTCAGTTAAAGCAGTCAACTTCCATAAACATGTTCAATTCCCAGTTGCTGAAGCCCCCATAACAAAAACAGTGTTCCTAAATGCTAACTGTACAGACCTATACTTCTTACATGAATTACATTAATGTTATAGACACGGTGACTATTAGCTGAATATCCTCAACTCAATGACCAAGCCAAATTTTTTGTTGGTACATTTGAAAATTCTTATCAGAAATAAATAGGAAAAACGTTAGTAGAAAGGCTCCTGCTCATCTATCCTTCTATATTGAATATTCAAACAGTTAACTAGATTGCTCCGGAAGAAGTCTGTTTGTTAATGATTGTTTTTTTTTGAAGTCCGCAAATCTTTCCCTCCTTTGTTCTACTGTTGATGAATAATATCAATAACACTAAAAAAGAAAATAAGTAGTATGGTGCTATCACAAACAGAGGAATGTTAGTCAAAAATTCTATGTTCAAGGGATATACTTGCCTTTATACTCCTGAATATATATCGTTTTCTTTCCTACACTTATTGTAGTTTTATTCATTAAATTTCGCCCCCATTCACTCATCTATCTATTTTTTAATCCTTTCTACAGTTTACACAATATCAGGAATAGCTCTATTCATTGTATCTGTCAACTTTATACTATCAGTCTTTCGAAGAAAATATCACGGCTATCCATATGGGTAAATTGTGTTCTTATTTAGTTTAAATTAACACAAATTTTTTTAATAGATTATTTTTTAGATAAAAAGAAAATTATTATTCCCGGTTAAATGGATCCGTTTGATGATAGCTGTGTTCATTCACTTTTTGTTTCATTTCTTTATAATTTTAACGAATAACCATTTTGTATTTTTTATTGTATGAAATTTTATGCAGCATAATGGATAAAACATTTCTTAGAATAAATAAATAAATATATGAATTCTCATATTAATTAATTCACTTGCTATTATTATTTTGTGCGTGTACAAGAATTCTTTTTCTGTTTTTTTTCAAATAAAATGTTCCTAAAATATACATTGATGTGATATTTTTTTGAAGCTATCCCCATTAGTCGATTACGAATAATGAGTATGTGATAATAATTGGATGACATTAATTTTTGTACAAATGATAGTAATTTGGCTAGTTCATGATAATATCAATTACAGTTGGAAATATTAACCAATACCTTATTCGGTTGTTAAATGGTTAGTTCATGAAGATTAGAAATTGTAATACTTTTGAGATTCGTAGGTTACTGGTTTTCGATCATAGGTGTCTTCGAAGCATTGCTCGTATATCTTGGGACACCCGAGTGAGCAACGCTGTTATTAGGAATCGGGTGCTAGGTAAGAATGGCAGATCAATAGATGAAGTATTGAAACTTCATCAGTTGAGGTGGTTGGGACATGTGTTGCGTATGCCCAACCACCGACTGCCTCGTCGAGCTTTGTTTTGTAGTGTAGGAATAGGTTGGAAGATAGTTAGGGGCGGCCAAACCAAAACATGGCACAAATCCATGAAGTCATTGACGAGTGGACTGAGCTATGTCGGTAGGTGTCGACTACCTGGTTGGGGTCCGCGAGATGATAATAATCGATGGTTAGAGAACTTGAATGACATGGCTCAAAATCGTTCGCAATGGCGCCGGTGCACTTATTCTTTGTGCTCTCTCAAATCCTAACCTTCTGGATTCTTCAGCAACTCTAGTTGTGACTCTCTAAACTTTTCTCATTAAATCATACTTCTTGAATAATATCTTCTAATCCTAACATCTCCGATTACTCCTAATACCGTTACTAACCGTTCTACTATTGGATTTGAATTGACAATTACATCTCTGTGCTGATGTGGTATGGTAACATGAACTGATGTACTTACGTACGAAGTTCTACGTTGCATCTGACTGACTGACTTTTGAGATTCACTGTATACCTGTTGATAGTGATTAGTTTGATGTATCACAGACGGACGATTTCGTAAGTATAGAGATCTACTAATAAATTCAACTAGTTTATTTCGGATAGGAAAAACCACAGCTTTATTTCATTTGCCCCGGAGCAGGCTTTTCGTATATGCGTTTATTCTGATGTAACGTACATAGAGAACGTAGTTAGTTATTTTACACAATTTTCAAAAATGTTCTAGCATTAATCTTTCCGAATCAAAAGTCTATGAATATTATGAATTCTGCAAATTGGAAATTAGCACTTTACTAGAAAATAATTGTCACAGGTAGTAACTCGTTTGTAATTTACTTTGCTCACTTCTACTATTTGGCCATTTCGTAATGTTAAGATTTATACAGGTATGAGTTCATAATTAAAGACTGTTATTCAGAAAACTACAATATAGAAATTCGTACTTAGGTACATCAATTCAAGTTGCCATACCGCATTAGCGCAGAGAAATGGTTATTTTGTCAAATACAGGCCCTGTCTTAGGCCGCATTGTGAAGGTTAGTAGTAACATTCGGCTAGAGTAAGTCAGCTACAAAGTGGAATTCGGTACGTACGTACATCAGTTTAAATTGGTATACCGCGTTAGCACAGAGAGAAGGAATCGTCAGTACAAACCCCATATAGCAGTAAAGGTTGTAAAATTATTAGTAGTAATATAAAAGATTCCAGCTTGCATCAGACAACATCGCTCGTCGTGGCAGTCAGTATTTAGGAATTTGTAATACATGTCCAGACCACCTCAACTGATGAAATTTCACTACCTCATTAATTGATCTGCCTCCTTATTTAGTACCCTTTTCCTATTGACTGCATTGCTTACTTGGTGGTTAAACATAAAAACAATTAGATTAGTACAATAAATAAGTAAATTACAGTTACCAAGTGAAACCAGCAAACATACCGACTATTAAAGCGTGTCTTATGGAGATATCATTTACAACAAAGATAGTTTACGGGCACGTCAGTCAGCGGTTGGGAGTTCGTAATACATGTCCCAACTACCGCAACTGATGAAGTTCCACTACCTCATCAACTGATCTACCTCCTTATTTAGTATCCTTTTCCTATTGACGGCATTGCTTACTCGGTGGTCCTAGGATGTCCGATCAATGCTTCAAAGATACTTATGGTCGAATACAAGTAACAGACGGATAACCTCTGTTTTATTTATTCACGTTGAGTTCCATTCATGGTTGTCGTATACGTTCTCAATAACTACAGTTCAGTGCTTCCAGTGACAATTGCTACCAAGTACCCCATGTAGTGAGATAAATTTCCTGGGATCTCTTTAAAACTTGAAATGTAGAAGTGGTAGTTTGGACACAAAAGTTCATTGATTTCGAAATATTCATCATCACACTATTGGGTATGATTTGAATCTTGAATCATTAATAAGCAATACACATTTCCAGAACTATTAATATTATTAGATGACAGATTTTAGTTGTGTAAAGGGGAAAGTGTGAAAAAATTTTCAGAAATGTTATGAAAGATGAGAATGCCAATTTCAGTCAGTCAGTTACGACGCAGAACTTCGTACACACGTACTTCAGTTCAAGTTGCCATATCACATTAGCGCAGACGCAATTGTCACTTCAAATCCCATGGTAGTAGATGTAGTTAAAGTATTAGCAGTAATCGGAGATAATAGGGTTCGAAGTAATCACCAAATGTAACCACACTCACTTTCATGTTATTTATGTTTTTGTAGCAAATGAACTCGTCATCCGCATAGAATGTTCTTGATTACTTAATCGATCGACTGACCTATCCCTAGGTGTACATGTTCTCCTTATTAGAGCACATTGAGATTTAAACATAAATTAGTCATACTACTGAAATTTAGTAAAGTATAAGAATTCAATTTACCTTCATAAATTTCTTGTCGTATTTTCATTTATTTAGGACATGGGATAAGATTACATAATTAGAAATACTCAGGACTATGATAGAAACAATTTTCTAGTTAGTGACATATCAGGAGACTTTGAAATAAAGTAATCTTTACAAACCTATTCCTTAATCACTACTAATGAGCCTAAAATGAGTTATCGAAATCACGAAAAGAATTGGTAATTATGCTAGTTCAATCATGTATCAGGTGTGAGATATTCATATAAAGCTATATCAAATAATGTTATATTCAATCATAATTTGAATTAAGTTTGAGTGTAAAACCCTCTGGCTTCTGACCTCATTCTAAAACATGACGTACATTACTTTTAACATTAATCATTGAGTAGTAACTAATGACCTGGTTGCCTAATTCTCTTGTGCTCTTCGAATTCTTCTCAATGAATCGGTATTGCATATATGATGTGTTTTGCTTTGCGTTACATGGCAATGGATATTCGATATATTTCTAAACTTCGTATACTGTCCGTCCTGATCATCCTGTTCATCTGAATTCCGAACGCTTGTCACAATTCACTCTATAGATTCATTACTGAAACAGGCAACTTTATTATTACAAATATATAATGGTCGATAGTGTTATCGAATTATTTAAACGACTAACATTATTATAACTAGTAAAATGAATATGTGCATAAGCAGTTAGCAATTTTCAAGCTTACAGGCTCAATAAAATGGTATAAATAAGTTGTTTCTGTATGGATGGTGCTCTGTTAAATAAGCTAATAAAATGGCTTAACCAAATTAAATGTAAACAAACTCAAATACATATGAGGTGCTATTGGTGATTGAAAGAAATCTGCAGGAAACCCTGAACCGAGATTTCATGCTTCTTAATATATTAGTTAGAATTTTTGTGTACCTCTTCCAAATTCTTGTGTGTTTCGAACTTGTATTACTCAGCTCCACAGTTCACGCCATTATTACTGAGCTATTCACATCACGAATAACTTCCTGTAGAGATATACACTTACATTAATAATCGATCATTATTTAACGAAAAATATTATGCTTGTCTACTATTATAGTGATGATCTAATTCTTAATTTAACCTTGAACATAAAGAAAAGAAATTACTCATGTATCAGTTAGTGGGTAAATTAATTATTATATCAGGTACTACAATAACTTTATCTCTGCTTTCTAGACTGATTAGAAGAAGCATGAAAATATCAAATTTATGAATGTTCATGCTGAAACAAAAAATATATGCATTGTATTGATTGATCAATTAGATGTACTAGATTAATATCTTCTGCTGACACAAATTTTCTACATGCATTGGATCTTAAAAGATCATGCATAAAAGTAGATTCGGACAATATATATCATTAGCGACTCCATTTTCATTTTTAATTAGTTTTAGTCGCTACAAATAAGAATAATAAATAATTATTCATTATAAATGATGGGACTTTTAGTGGATGCATTGAACTCAAGGTAGGGCTCATCATTTTAGTGGTACGCGATGACTCCGATATTTACGAATGATGGAGAATACGATGAGGTAAATCTACCCTTGAATTTCAGAATATCATACTTAGACAAACCACGTCTGTGTGAGGACTAAGAAGCCAAATACGGATTCAGTTGGATAAGATGCAGGCAAACATGTTAATGCCAAACACAAAAGCGAAGCAGAGAAGGCTAGCGAGCTAACTCTAATCGATAAAGCATGACTAAGCCATTTATAATCAGACAAAATAATCTAAACATTTTAATGAGCGGAGTATGCGGCACATACACGTACTCGAATAAAAACAACCAAAATAAAATCCTCTAGTTGGAAAAGTCGGAAGATGTGGGAATAATAACTCGGGTAGAATGGATTAGTTAATTTGTCTGAATGCTTGGGACAAGCTCAGTGAGCTGCACACATAAAAACACATCCACTACCAACTAGTTTAGATGCTGAATATGTTTTTAAGATGTTAAAATACACTAAACAGTTCATTTCTTATTTCCTTAATTGTATTGAGTGTGGTTATGTGATATGATGGTCAAAATCTGGATAAATTGAATGTTGAGAGACCTATAATGGTATATATTTTGCTTTCTGATACCAACTCAACTTGATGTTCAAGTGAATAATTTCACTTTCATGAACAGTTTTATGACTCCTCTACATTGTATCATTCCTTATTATCAATCTATCAAAGC